GAGTAACATCAGAGGACGTACTTTGAACAGCCGAATGGGCAAGGATATCGAAGATCGAAAGACGGCTAATTTCTTTTAAATATTCGTATCTCTATGTTATAAACTTTTCATGTGTTTAGATCGCAGAAACAGTGTTTTAATTAAATTCCTACGAGTATCTGTTACGATAAAATACTTGAAAATATAGATTGCACATTTTATAAATAATTGTTCATATTATGCAAAATATTATTCTTACAAAACTATTCGTTATCATCAACTTCATCTTCATCTTCAACTCCAACTCCAACTCCAACTCCAACTCCAACTTCAACTTCGACCTCAACTTCAACGTCATCAACATCAACATCATCATCGTCATCATAATACACCGAGACGCGTGTTATCATGACTCGTCAACTGGAGATTTTCATCTCCAGGTTGCCAGCTTTTCGAGGACACATAAGGAAAGCGAACTAGTAATCAGCCGCGGCGGTCGAGAAAGAAGAGATCGTAAAATTATGCAATGACTTTGACAATTTATGCCGCTCGTGGTTTACGAGCAATAAGTTACTTTACAGTGTCGTTTAAATCGCCAAATATTTTGAGCTAAATGATAAAAATCTTATCAATCGTCTGTACATAATAAAACGAAATTCTTTTTTAACGTATAACGCATCCATTGTTTGTAGATATAGACTACCCCGTCGATCGTATTTAGATTTTTCTACTTTACGCGACCGCGCGTTATATAATTTTAATAAGCATTTTTGATCGTGCCCTTGTAGGTCTTGCAAGTTTTCACTGTACTTAGGATGGTCATCTCGCGCGAGTTCTGTTCGGTTAATCGGTTGCTCGTTAATTTGGGAGTCATATTTTTTATGAGATTACCGAGACCAATGTCCTAATAATTAGAAGCAAGAGTATACGTATATTTCGATATGTCGTTAATTTGCATAGTTCCGAAAGTCGTGAGAAGCGGAATTTAACGAAAAACTTGTAAGCAAATTCACCAAGATTTTATCAGCTAAACATGGAAAAGTTAACTTCTAAATAGGTAAGACTCGATAGGAAATGAGGAGAAATGATAGGTTGATAATTGAATTGACGATACTTAACTACAATTTCATATCCATGGACAAAGAATGACAAAACTTAGGAATGTGAAAAAATCTGGTACCAGTCGTTCTGATATTTCTAGCGTCGAGTATAAATAAGATTAGAAGAAAGATCGGATGGAATTCTTTAGCGGTTTAATTTCTTTTAAAAATTTAATAAAATCCATTATCTCTTATTCTCTGTCCTTCGATGTATAGGAAGATTTTAGCATTCTATTTATAGATGATGCTATTTTCACGATCAAGACCGAGAAAACGAGTATCGCACAACATTCAGCCGAGGGGCACGATCGATCTATGAACCCGCGATTACGCTAAACTGCGTGCTACTTGCCTATATAACACGTACGATTGTCGGAAAGTTATCACGGTTTCAGTTACCGGGTAAGAAAATAAGAACGTTGGAAACTCTTCTACCGTAGAACGTAATACATACTGCCGCGTCTTTCTAGCATCGAAGTCTCCGATCAACACGTTGCACGCTATAGCGTTTTCTTTTACATTTTCAAAAGTCTTGTCGAAGCTGTACAACTCACAATTACATAAAGCGAAATAAGTAAATTACTAATAATATTTACAAAAATTCAAGTGCAAGCATTTGTGGCGTTCTAACATATTTTCGATAGTAATAATTAAATACTAGCATAACTATATACTATATATGCTGTTTGTGCTCCTCTTGTAGCGCGCGTATGATCAAGGCTCACCATTTGTAATTTCATTTCTTACATAGTTATTTCTAGTCGATCGAAGGCTGATTAACTTTTACTCAAAATATTCTTTTGTCAAATTATCGGAAGTGTCTGAAAAACCGTGCTACAGCCTGTATATACATGTATATATATTTATGCAGAAAAAATATGACATGACAGAAATTCCATTAAATAGATGACTAAGTATCTAAAACTTGGGATTCCCCGAGTCGCCTGATTTAAGGAAATGTCTTTGGAATAGCGTATTAATCCTATTAATCCGATGGAATCTCTATCGATATACGCGTATTACCCACCGAATATTTCGAAGCACAAGGTTATCGAATATCACGAAAGAAAGAAAACAAGACGAATTTCAAAAGATCGACGAGAAACGTAACTTATGCTCGGTGACGAAGCGATTTCATAGAATCGTTACCCGCCCTTGAAACGAGAGTGAAATTTTTCGAAGACAAATCGAAGGACGAGCTCGTCGGTATCTCGGGTTTAAATCACGTTCCGCCTACTTATATCCGTTGATATTCAGGCACGAAAACGGTGCGTTCTTCGCTTTATTTGCTTTCAAATTTTTCACTTTATAGTGACACAAAGAAACATACATACTACTTACTAGACTATTCTAAAACTAGAAAATTCAAAAATTGTTAATGTCTCCGAGAACGAGCTTCGCAACTGATAAACGGTAAAACGTAATTATCTTGGAGACTGGACTATTCTTTGTTCTTTTCTTACTAATTTCTATTCACGATACCAGAGAAACGATTAATTACGAGCTTTTTAAATTAAATTTTGTTCCACGAGATTATTCGCGTTTCGTATTGGTATCGTATTCGCTGTCTCGATCTAACGATTTCAAAATTTCACGTTAGTTTCGTAACCGAAACATCCACGATTTAAGAAAACCAGCGATCTTACGATTAGTTTTAATTTAGCATCGACGTATGTTCGATATTAGAAATATGCATCTGTAAATTGTAAACGAGCACACCAGGTCGAAAAAATTAAATGAACGGAAGATCGTACGTTTTCAACGTATTATCCTACTTTCATAACGATATACGTTGCTTTTAAAGTATTACGTGAATATAGTATCGTATCCTCGTTCCCAGAGTAACCTTTCACTCTAACGCAAGTCGATCCTGCTTCGATGATATGCCCAACTTTCCTTTCGGATACTCTAGCGACTATCATAAGTGTGGATTAATATTTGGGCACAAGTCAACCATTTATATAATTTTTCTATTACATATCCAGCTTTAGGATGACTCGATATGAAGTACCGTCCTTTAGTTTCAACGAAGCAAACGTTTTAACGTTTTAAGAAAATATCGACAACCCATTGAAACGAGAAACCACCGTTTACGAGGAATAACGCTTCTTTCGTATTTGCGTCAAATTTAGGAAATTTTCCAACGATAGACAAATACGATCCGGTTGAAAATGACTCAAAAAGCACGGTGCGATCAACTTCGTTTCGGGACGCGTTCGAAGAAAGAGAGAGTGGAGAGAATGAGAAAGGTGAGGGATAAGCGAGAAAGGTGAAGGATAATGAGACACGGGGAAAAACGTGACGAAAGAGAAGTTCTGGGAAGGTATAACATATCGAGGAAACTTTGCCTGTCAAGGTTACCAGGGCAACGCTAATGGTCTGTCAACCAGCTGGTACCTTAAATATACGAGGAAGGACGTCATTTTAATAATTTCACAACGGTTGGGAAAAGTGGAATCGTCGAAAATATCGCGATGCTTATCGTCTGATAAAGCAAACGAGGCATACAAACTATGGCGTACATAGCGGACAAGTAAAATGAATTAAATTTTCTTGTCTCTATACCATGTAATTTAATTAAAAGCGTAAACAATAATAATATAGGAAGTATAGTGGTACGTTTGTAGAAGAGTAGAATCAAACGATCTAATTTTATAATTACATAAAGTGGAATCTTCCGTTGCTAAAACTTTATTATCCATATCTACTCGTTATATGAAATCGCTATAACATCCAAACGTTCTACTTTCTCGACGTAATATCTGCTAGTAAGAGACGCCTTTTTCCGTTATAGATAGCATTATGCGTACGGTGTGGCTTTCATACCTGCAAAACATCTTACTAAAATACGAAATATGAAGTTTTACTAAGAAACAGTATCGACTCAACACATAAGAAACTATATTTCATTCTGTGATAGATGAATGTTTATTTCATAAACGACGAACATATACACTGTGCTACAGAGCAAATTTACCACGCAAAGTGAAGCAGCAAACGAAATATTGAGATTCGAAGATTCGAGGTACAAGAAGTATATAACTTTGCAGAGTCGCTTATATTTCGTATTAAAATGTTTAAGTAATTCAACAGACAAAAAAGTAGGATCCTTAAATGTATAAACAAACTATCAGTTTTCTCTATTCTTGTTTGAATAACTGAAATTTAATGTTCCAAAGATGTTTGTTCCATTTCTCAATAACTATTTAATTACATTTAATCGTTGCGATTTAATGTTATATTTAATATTTATTATCTTTAATCATTTTGCCTGTTTCGAGTATACGCAAAATGAAACATCGTTGAAAGTACTCGGTTCCTAAAGGTTCGAGTCATCTTGTTCTAATTGCGACATAAAATTACGAAATGGTTACTCGTAATTTTAACCTGTTTCTACTGTATTAGACGCAATCGTAGAAACTGTAGGAGTGCATAAAGCGAGGTGACATTATCGCTAAATCTAAATGTACAAGATGACACGCAACGTACATTATGAAGACATAGATACATTTAATTCTTATAATATACATTTCATATTTAAACGTTCATGTAAACTTTACGAAACTTTCTCTTTAACAAAATCCTTTTTATCGTATCGTTAAATAATTGCACGATTCTCATTCGAATGTCACGAGGGTACGCTAAATGTAACAGGATTATCTAACGATACATCGTTTTAACGAGATAGTTACTATGATTCAGAATGTTATGTCATCGAAATTCATCGGAGGCTACTTTACATTATTATTTTACATTTCTTGAAGTAGGAAAAAGATGATATATACAAGCGATAAAAAGGAAGTAAAATTCACGCGAATTACAATATAATGCGTAAGACATATTAATGTTTTTCAAACTGATACTGATATTTCGATAAAGTGATTTGTTAATTCGATTATTCTATTTGTTTGTACTTTGCAGGTAGATTGTCGGCGATTTTCATAGGAATTTTAACGCTTGTGATCGGTATCATATTGAGCAGCATTCCTTGGGTGGATTATATCATATTAAAGGTAGGTAATCACAGATTTTTTCATGTATGATTTATTATCGAATACAACCCGCTATAAAGTAACGTAACAAATACAAAATTGTTACCTTTTTTCTTAACATTAGTTTTTATATCAATCGGTTCTGAGAGTTAGCGCAACGGATAACGTTATAGATATCCTACACGAGGAACAGTCATATTTGTTAAAGCTACATATCGAGTCTAACTGCTTTATAATTTTATTTGAAAAATGTAAAAAAAGATCAATCATTTGGCTAGACTCGCGGCTTCGTTGAATCGAGACATTGAAAACATCGTTTAACGAAATTTCATTTCAAGTTTATGTTTGCAGTTGGTATCGATATCGGATATAAGTTAAAGTTCAAATAATACTAATGTCCAATGTTTAAATGAACAGTTCGAATGTGTACAAATCTTGAATTACTGGTATAAACAAGAACTGGAATTTATTTCGTGTCCGGCCTTGAACTTTCACGAAGAACAAGCTAAATTATATACATGGAATTTATAGGTTCCGCCGACAATATTAATTTCCGATTGTACTTTCCAATCAGTTTCCGTATTTATTGCTTCGCGGTATCGATTGTTTTTATCTTCTCCATCTTTGCTTTCACTTAACTAGTTGTATATAAACATAGGTACATAAACTAGTTGTACGTGTTTAGCGTATTTGTTTTAGCTTTAGATTCTATCGAGTTGTTTCAACATCTATTCTGTGTACAACGTTGTATTTTTCCGTCTAGCAACTGCGATTATGGAATGGTTCTCTTTCGTTTCAATACTGGCAGAAGCCGGGGGTAGTTAGACTGACAAAAGTATACATATTCAACGTAACTAACGCAGAAAACTTTTTGCAATATAACGAGAAGCCAAAATTGCAAGAAATTGGTCCATTCGTATATAAGTAAGTACGTCGATGAAGTAATATAAAAACTAATACCCCAACGATACTTTACTTTTTATTTTACTTTTCTCTAAAATCTTAAATCTTATCCGATTTTCTCCAAAAGTCATAAAATTTAATTTATAAGTTCAACCTACGATGATTTATGGAATTATGAATAATTAATTTGAGAAATTTTTTTATATCTCTTTTTTATTTTTATAAATATACAAGTATTTGTAGTTTCAAATCACAAAATACTTGTAGTTCTCACAATTTATAGAAACGGAATTGCACGCTTTGAATCCTCGTGGTATTTCGGTTCGATATTTTGATCGATACTTCCACGTAGTAATCGCAGTTCGATGAATTTTTAATTGTCTAATTAGTAATTATTTTAGAATGCTTGCAATATTTTTTTTACGGAAAATAATTTCGATCGATCTATTTATAAGTTTTCTTGTAAGAGGTCTAAAGGCAATTCGTTCTCTATATAGATGGAATTAATTATGTTAAGATTCGAAATTTAGACTATTACGTATTTTTCGACTTGTTTATATTGTTCGACCGAAGAAAATATTTTATTAAAGTATTTCAAACTTATAATTTACAGAGAAGATATGGAAAAGGTAAATATCGTTTTCCATAATAATGGTACTGTAAGTTATCAACACAAGAAGATATTAAACTTTGTACCAGAAATGTCGAAAGACAAGAACCTTAAAGTAATAGTACCAAACATTCCGTTATTAGTAAGTAAATTTTTCTTATAACATACAAATTTGAGAGTAGTGGAAAGATTTATTCTGGAATTTTATAATTACGCTTTAAATATATATCAATGTCAATTATCGATGATATCGTAAAATATAAAAATACGCCACGTCGTTAACGTTACTTTACTAAAATATTTTTCTTTTTTTTATACAATAGCTTTTATGCAGATATCGACACATTCGAAAACGCGTTTCAAAATCTAAACGATTTCAACGAAAGAACTTTCTATCTGATACTGGCGTGCGTCGCATTATTTTTCAGACGTTGTCGACACAAAGCAAAGGACTACCTCGAATTATTAATTTGGGATTACACATGTTTTTGGGAGGAATGCGGATGACGCCGTTTGTTCCGGTAACTGCCGAACAACTTGTTTTTGGATACGACGATCCGCTAGTTAGCATCGCACATCAATTTTTTCCGAAAACGAGACGTCCCATGAGTCAAATGGGGCTTCTACTTGGGGTAATTACAAAAATATGCGATCGATGTAGCGTATGCGATTAAAGTACAGATAAAAGATATAAAATTGAAATATAGAAGATCGATCGTTTATTTTTAAATATGATTAATTAATTATTTTTTACGGTATTTTGTAGGTATCGCATAAAAGAAACGAAATGAATTTTTTTTATTTTTATGATAGGCATAATGACGATAACTTTAATTGCAGAGGAATGGCACGTTAGAAGAAGTGTCCACTATTTTTACGGGGCATACGGACATGAAAGAGTTTGGATTAATAAATCGTTTAAACGGATTAGATCGTTTGCCATATTGGCCAAATTCACCTTGCGATTCCATTCGAGCTTCAGAAGGTAGATTTAACTAATTCAATCGTTGCTTATCCTATAAGCGAATTATTTATTATTACATTTGATAAATTTAAGCGCACCTCTAAACGATTAGATTCTAGACGTAATACGTTTAAGTGCTCCATGTATAGAAATTATAACGAAAAAATACCAACTGCTACAATTAATATCTTTTTTTTAGTATAACGTATAACAAATTCGTACGTTACGTTATAATAACATATTTATTACCCATAGGATCGTTTTTTCCACCCCGTGATAAAACTGGTTCAGATATCGTATATATTTGGGATAAAGATCTTTGTCGCACTTTACCTTTGCAATATCGTGGTCCGGTTAAAAAATCAGGAATCAAAGCAGATTTATATACACCGCCTGATTCTGTGTTTGGACGTCCCAATGAAACTAGTCCAGAAAATGAATGCTTCTGTTCAGATGACATGTCCACCTGTCCTTTTAATGGATTGCAAAATATCAGTCCTTGTCAGTACAGTAAGTACTAACTAAACTGTACTACGCGTGTAACTGTGATACCCAACAAACAGACTGAAAACTGTTTTTTGTTAAATTTGATTAATTCGGTAGAATATATCTATATTTTTACGAGCGTGTAAACATCAAAAGTATCGTAAAATATTTTCCGAGAACGAAATTATCTATATAACACGCAGCAAACTTTCATTTTATTATTACTTAAACTACTATTAATATTTCAGCTGCACCTGTTTACCTTTCCTTTCCGCATTTCTACAAAGCTGATCCCAAGTTATTAGACGCAGTGCACGGATTAAAACCAAATCGGGACATACATGAAACTTACTTTAAAATTCAACCGGTAAGTAATTTTCACAACAAAAAAAAAAAAAAAAAAAGAAATAAAAGTATCGTATAAGAAGACGAATAATATCAGATTTGTAATTATATGCTAAATGCAATTTAATCCTCCATGAACGAAATCTCTTGTTTACTTATAAAAGAACGAGGAAAAGATTACAATTGATTGTAATTTTTTGCTTCGATCCAAAATCTATAAACTCTTAATCGTCACGAACGAATCGTTAGACGAATCGCTGGAATGATAATACGTCGACGAAATACTATAAGATCGATGATGAAATAAAATAGAATTTAAAAAATAACATATGAATGTGTGTAGCTTATAAGCCACGTAACGTTAATATAATCGATATCTATAACGCGTATACTACAGCGCAACTTGTTTGATTTATAGAAACTTGGCGTGCCGTTGGAAGGAAAAGTGCGCGTTCAGTTAAACCTAAAGGTGGAACACCAACCATACATCGGCGTGGTGTCGAATTTTCCCGACATAGTATTTCCTATTATGTGGGTCGAAGAGGGTATCGAAGAACTGACACCTTCTATCCGCAGATGGATCTACTTAGCAACAACATTTAGCGACGTTGCTGCACCTTGTACCTCGTACGGATTAATTCTAGTCGGTATAACAATCGTATTCGCGGTTTTCGTGAAGGCTTACAACAACGTGATGTTTACGCACGAAGCGATCGAACTAGGTAAACGAACCATAAGAAGAGGTTCCACGTTGTTAGTAAATGGACAGCACAAGTTATTAATTACACGAGAACAATACGTTTTGCTCAGTAACGATAACGACGAGAAGTCAGCAAGAATAGAATAAATGTCTAGCTGTAATAGTAATACGATTGTATCTGTAACGATTAAACGAATAGTATTGGATTCACATTCGGATGAGTAATCGCGAACAGCGGCGACGAGTAATCGCGTAAATCGCCTCGTAGCATAGGATTTCTAATCGTTTGATACTATAGACCAAAGTTTTTCTTCCAATTACCTGAAGAATAGTTTGATGTATATCGATTGCAATAGCATGGGTTTGGCAAACATTCGACGATCACCTACACATTCTTTTTTAATCTTTCTCTTTTCTTCGACCGTATCTGTGATTTCATCTTTTTATTTATATCGTTGATGTACGAAACAGATCGTGCTTGGACGAACAGAAACGGGTAACAAAGCGGTCAAAGAATAATGTTCGAGAAGTTTAGTGGCTACAAAAAGTATTTGCTTCTTTTTCCAATAAAGCACTTTTATCAGTTTTTTATCAGATTCTATATAGCATTTTCATAATACGTATCAAACTTTTATCCTCGTGTAAAAGTACTACTAAATAATACGAAATATAAGATATTTGGTTTGTAAGAGTAGGCCTCGGTGTGATGCAGAAGGGAATGTCTTAATTCTCCATCGAGCTATTAATTTATACGCATAAAAAAGAAATAATTTTTGGAATTTTTGTCAGCCTGTTGGTTATTGTTGCGTCGTATTTCTTAAAAAAGCGAACCCTTTTATAATTTTTTGTTCTTTCCTTTTATTTTTTCCTCTCATTTTACTCCTCCTCTGACAGGACCTAATCAAACAGCGTCTAAATGCAATAATAGTTAGAGTGTTGTGCAAATACCTTTTCTAATCACTGTATATATATACGTTCAACGAATTTGTTTAACTACGATAGAGTACGCGTTGTACATAAAGTTACTTCTGCACGATAATTAACAAGTGGAATATTAGTACTATGTATGTATGTGTATGCTAGTTGTTAATAGCAAGCGATTGCCAAGACTCAATGAAGGCATGTAGGAATACGATTGATATTATCGAATAATATTAATGAATATGTTTGATTTTTATTATTTAGGATTCTGTTGTTTTTAGAATCATAAGAGACAAAATCGAAGAGTTCGTTAAAATTTCAACGCCTGCGATTGGATCTTCGAATATAACTAAAAATAATGTTCCAAGTGAAAATCACATATAATAATATACATATGCATTACATTTTACACCTGGCAACTAATAAAATTTACTTACTCATAAAATAATACTTTATAAAAGTAATATGTCACTTAATTAGTTTCGTTATAGGCATATTTCAGTAGGTCTAAAAGATATACTTGAGAACAACTTAAACAACGATCAAAATTTTTATGATTTTAATCGTTCGTAAAAGTACGTAATTTTGCGCTTTATTATATTTTTAGGTCGTTCGTTCAATTGGTAAGTGAATTATTGTTACTGATAATAAAATTTATTACAATTTTATATGCTATATATTCTATATTTTTGTTGAAACAAGTAATATGGGTTAACTTTATATCTGAAAATACGTGGATTAACTTTAACGTGTGAATTTTTTAAATAAAGTTTTATTTGCATCACTGAAAAAAATAATTAACTTATCTACTACTATAATAATTATTATTTATTATAACTTAAATTTAAAAATACGCATTACAAAACACAATTAACAAAGTTATATCAGATTGTATTTAGAATATTACCGAGTATGTAAAGAATTGTAAGCTAAACGATTCCTTTATAAAAAAATTTTATACTTTAGAACATGCTTGACTCGAGCTGAAGTACGCATTTGGATATAGCACTATACAACGGTATCACATTTTAGATAAAGCCCAGCAGTTTATTATAACGCAAGGATAATATTATATTTACATTTTTAATCGACGATAATCTTCGTTCAATAAATTTTACTATTCTTGCTATGCTATAAATTACACATTACAAAAAAATGATGAGGTTTATATCACGTCAAACTTTTTATAAGAATATAAATAATAATATAATTATTTAAAAGTTATCGTACTAAATTAGATGAATGTTTAGAATTTTTTTAATGTTTAAATATTGGTGTTATTTTCCACATGTTAGTGGTAAGAACGTTAGCGTGAAAAGAATTTACATTTTTGAAAATTAATTCTGAAAATAATACATGTATATTTTGAAAAAAAAACTCAGAAGAATAAAATATCATATTACAATTTATCCGATGGTGTCGAGTCTCTTATCTTAATTACGTTCTCGTATTCTGTAATTCGTCGATTTCGTAATTCGTGCTTAATAGCGTTTTATTATTTACATGCACAGATATGTTCTACACATCCTTAATAAGCTACCGATTGTGAGCTAAAGTTGCTCTATATAGATAGGTATTTCTATTGGACACGTGGACTCTGTAGCCGTTTCGATACACAGCAATTACGAACGAACGAAGTACTAATACGTTAGTTTTGCTGTTGAATAATTTATACAGAATAAAGGTGTCTTAATTAAGAATACACCTATAAATTATAATTAGTGCAATACACTTTTCTTTTGCTTCTCTTAAGTTCTTTTTTAGGATTATAGATATTTTATAAATTCATTTGATTTTTAAATTTAAAGTATTCAAGCCGATCTTATCAATAATTTCTAAAGAAAATTATCTGAGGGGACATGTCGCTAGCAACGGAGGTATGGTAGTTAATGAAGTAGGCTCTCTTAAATTAAGTTTATGCAGTTCTTCGTCCGCTTTGTTATGTTTCAACTCTTGCTGAGTGTACAAGAATTTGTTCCACTCGTCGATTCTTGGATGCGCTAGATGCTATATTTACAGAAACATATATATTTACAATTTTCGATGTCGAAGAATAATTAGAGAGTGAATTAAACGATATATCGATAATTTAAAATAATTATTTACGAAGCTAAATTAGTCAAATACTAGATTAATAAAAAGTAATATTACCTCAGCAACATCGTACACCCAAATCTTTCCAGTATCATCGCCAACGGTTACGTGTAAACCGCTCGGTGTCCATGAAACTCTGTTAAGAGCCGGAGAACCATTGATCACAATACTAGCGGTGGGTACTTCGGTATCTTGATTCAGATTCCATAAATCTAATCGTCCTGAATCGTCTACCGCGGCAAACAGAGCTGGATGGGTCGGTGACCACGCAACGTCATAAACATAATCACCATTGTGCTCGAAAGAATATAGAGGTTTGCTCTCCTTAAGACTCCAGAGCTTAATCGTCCAATCGATGGACGATGTCAAGAATAGATGTGAGAAATCTATTCCACCTTGTACAGCATGCGTGCTGATTCCTGTAACTGGTCCTTGATGACCTTCGTAAGAATCTAATACACCAGCTTTTGTACCATGACGACAAGCTATCGAACAAATACAGAGAGTCAGAACGGTTTGTAGGTTAATTATTAATTTAATTTCTTTTCACGAAATTCGTTTACCGGAATATACAGTTCCTTCTTCGCTGCCTACAACGAAGTTATTAACATCGCCATGGGGGAACGCCAAACAAGTGGCGGCAATTGCTTTCGATTGTTTAGTGTGAAGCTCCAGTGTCTCTTGCGGCTGTGACAACATGTCCAAACTCCAGGAGCACAGTTTGCCATCGGTCGATATGCTTATCAAATTGTGCGCGTTTTGTGCCCCAACAACGTTTAGACAATATACAGGATGCTGAGGATAAGAACTAAGATATGTATATCGATCATCGAAAGCAATCGTCGAGACAAGTCACGTTTACACCATCATGGATAAAATTTTCATCCTTTACATTTTTATACGGTACATTTTATATTATTTTACAGATCAATAAAGTTAAATAAATGCAATTAAATCGTTATTATCATTCAACGTTAGGCGACGACGATATTAAAACAAAATTCATCTGGACTGAAATTTCACCGATGACAGTAAAGTGACTTTTTATCAAACGACTTACAGTATGCGCGCTTGCTGATAGTGGAGTACGTTGAATAGGAGTTCTCTTTTGTACTCTATTGTCCCAGAGAACGATTTGGCCGGAATAAGTACCTCCTAAGATTAAATTAGGATGAAATCTTGCAAACGTGGTCGACATGACCGGAGACTGACAATGGAAAATAAATTCCGGTGTTGTTTTCTTAAACTTTGTGTTCCAAACCAAACACACCCCATCGGGATCATTTGGAGTGTCATCGTTATTGTTATAGGAGGCTGCAAGAAGTTCCGGAAACTGAGGTGACCAATCCATCGAGGTCACACAACGATTACGAGACCATCGATCGCAGAAGAACCATCGATTCAACCACAAACGCTGATGACTCTTTTCGTCCCTATAATTAGCGAATGATTGATGTATAGTAATTAGAATAACTAAATCCTGATGTTAAATAACATTTATCTTTACTCACATTCCATCTTCGCCATCCATGGTACCGGTATAATCGCTATAAATATTAACGGATTCTCCTAATGCCCTTTCCACAATTCTACTAGTACGATCGAGGAATCGTTGAAAATCTTCGGATAGTATAATCATTTGTTTCTCTTCTTCGCTGAGTTCTTGTACTGTAAATTAGTATTTATATAATTAATTATATAGTTTGATCCCGGTAAAAACTATTTCGATTACTTTCAACGAAGATCGAAAGAATATTCGGATACGAAAGGCTCCGTGTTGTATAATTTAAGACAAAAGAAAAATCACCTTCTTTAGGTTTTTCTTTTTCCTTTTCTTGCTCCACTTGTGTGACCGCTGGCTGCACTTCCTTAACCTGTGGTAAACCATGGGGAAGAATTCCAGGAGGAAGCTTGCTTTGGAAACCATCCATATGCGGCAAACTGTTCTCTTCGTCTTCGGCTTGGCCATCATCAAATGTCAAAACTGTGGTGAATAAGCTGGTTCCGCCACGAGTACCCTAACTTGGATATATCTATCTACCTCTGGCAAATGCCCTACTTTAAGAATTCGAATGTTCTACGTTGAAAAAAAAAGAAGAAAAAGATAGCTATACTATCTCGTAACGCTACATGATAAACGTCATTGGCATCTCCTACAAGATATTCTACGTAAAATAATAATTGGAAGAACCTATCGCGTTAAAATCCGAACTAGGACAGAAATGCATAAAAGTAAAGAGCAAAACCGCGATGCATTCGTATATTTGTGCAAGTTGTGCAACTCTTATATTGATTATTACGCTTGACTTTGAAACGTATTAGCTACCATGTAATTGAAACGTCACAAAAAATAAAATAAACTTTTTGCAAATAAAGAAACTGTGAAAGCGTCGAGTTTAAGGGATGCAACTCTCTTTCAAAAGTTTTCGTAAAAGCGTATAAAAGTTACGTATGTGTATACAAACAATAATATAAGAATAATAACTGATTGAAAGATGAAAAATTATACAGATATTAGGAGAGGCGACTAGGTTGAATCACATGCATTGACATTAGTCACGTATGTATAAGAAGGTGGACTGCTTGTTGGTGGATTACGTAAATAAAAATCGGATTTTAATCTGAGATATTTTACGATTGACATGAAAATCATCCGAAAACATATCTCTCCACCCTTCGTTTTAGCATAAATGCAGATGAAATGGAAGAATGAGCCGAAGTAAATGAAAGATCGATCGATGATTTTTTAAGTGAAGTATACGTTACGTTATACTGTAGGTATATAAAACATCGATTCATAAATGCTTTCAATATCAGTACCCATTAACGAATAGAGCTCTCTTTTTTCTCCTCAACTTTTGAACATCGAAGATTATACAGAATCAAAAAATAAAAATACAAAAATTGTGATATGTTAACGCAACTTCCCAAGTCTCATGCAGCAGCTAGAGAATATGTAATTTATATAAGAACAAAAAAAAAATATTAAAAAAAAATGTTCTAGTTCATATTTATACTTCAAGAAGAAAGAAAAAAAGAAGAAAAAAAAAAAGAAAAGAAAATTGCCTCTAAGTGAGAAACGAAATGAAAATGATAATGATGATTTATTATATTGTACTTCGATCATGCGTAGTGAAATATGACGAATGATTGAACAAAACCATAAAATTGTATGTATGACATCTACGCATGCAGGACAAATGAAGCAAGTTTTTACAATTATGAAACAAAACCATAGAAAACTACTTAACAATCTGATGATTTATCAAGCAAGTTCGAGTGTAATTTGATAGTACAAGTTCCCTCCTTTCAGTGCATACAAATACAATAACTGAATAGAAGAAAAAAAACGAACAAAAAATTATTGGTCGAATGCAATTTTGTGAAAATGAATATAATCCTTGTATCGGTGATATTAATTAGGTAGAGTGAATCGTCTCTAGAGAGGATTACCTACCTGTAAATTCGTCCTCCCATTCTAAACCAGGATTTAGATTGTACTCGTCTTGAAGGAGGGAAAAGAAAATGTCAATCAATCACGTGTTTTATCATGTTAGTTATGTTTGTATCTAATTTCACGTCTCTCATAGAAAATTATTGATGTATGCCACGAAAATATATTTATATACATATCCTTCATGGATATAAGAAAACCTGTTAATTATTCTAAAAAAATAGCACGCGAAGTATACGCTATAAATAGC